TTAAATAAAATATGGCGTTTCCTCTTGAAGGACATCATTCATTTGTAAATTTTGATTTGAATTTTCTTGTGGGCAGCAATGATGTATATGATTTCGAAACTGGGGCTGATAAAAACAAGAAAGAATCAGTTGTTAATCTAATTGGCAGGTGAGTTAATAGTCCTTAACAAAATAACGATTCTTTCCCGTCCCTCCCCTGATCCATAATGAAACACATGTTAGGTACTTTTCCATAAACACCTAAAAAAAAAAGAAAAAAAAAAACTTGGCGCAAATAACAAAATTGGACCGATGATTTCCTATATTGTTCTTTGAAGCCAAACAGGAACTCATATTTTAGCTTGGGTACTACTTGAACTTGGTTTCGGGGGCCTTACTTGGGTGTCTATTGAGGCTGGAAGTATACGTTCTATAATTCTACTTGCCTGTGCCATATTTTGTGGCTATATTTACCAGGTAAGTTTGATGTACTTAATGTCTGCATAGTGTAATTCATGCCTGCAGTCGTTAGATCGAGGTTGTACTTAATGTCCGAATAGCGTAATTTCATGCCTGCAGTCGTTAGATTCAGGTTGCATGTGTTACATCTGTAAATGTTAACGATTGCTATTGGTTTAATGTCCTAAATAACTGAGCAAGTACTCTGAATGTTATACTTCCTTTTAAATTTTAATCCCAACTTTGATTTTATGATTTATGTTAGTAAATCTCCTTCAAATACATTATGACTTGGATGATTTATGTTTATTTTGTAGTGTCCACCTTTTCGGCTGAGTTACTTGGGACTTGGGGAACCTTTGTGCTTTGCGGCATTCGGTCCATTTGCGACCACTGCCTTTTGCTTGCTCCAAAGCGGGACAAGGTTCTGGGCGTTTGCTTTTATACTTAACCTGATTCTGATATGAGATATACATATTGTTTACTAACTTTTGTTCTGGGAATATAATACGACAGTGAGCTGTCAATCTCTGCAACTGTAATCTCTTCATCAATTCTTGTCGGCTTCACAACGACCTTAATCCTATTCTGTAGCCATTTTCATCAGGTACTACTTTTCTCCTATACAATATAAGGGTAACTAAAGAAATATATCAAAAAATTTGAAATATATTAAAATATTATCATTTGTTGCTGATTGGAGTGATGAATTGTTTTAGATAGAGGATGACAAGGCAGTCGGGAAATTTTCGCCTGTGGTGAGTGCATTCATATCAGATTAATATATATATATATGTATATATATATTTCTTTTAAATGGCAGAATTAGTTGTGGAAACTTATCGACTGAAATTTTATCTATGTCCAGGTCAGGCTTGGAACCGAAGGAGGTGCAAATGTAGTGAAAGTGGCCGTACGGATACTTTATTCGCTTCTATTTGTTCTCGGGCTTGCCCAAATTCTTCCTTTCCCCTCTATAGTAAGTCATCACTTAGAAAAACATCTATCGTAAGGCTACATTGCATTGCAAACCTGTAAGTGTCCATTAATCTTTCTGCTGCCACAGGTTCTCTGTGCTTTAACATTACCAGTTGGAAATTTAGTGGTTAGCTTTGTCGGGACAAACCACAAGGTACAGTAGTACAAAACCGTATT